TTCACATCGCATAACTTTGGTGATCGTTTACCGATCTCATTTTTGATCTCCAGTTCGGATAAGTTCCACTCGGTATTGACGAATATCATATTTCGGTGCACCACAACCTTCGAAACTGACTTTATATCAATCTTACGCTTTTGCTTCAGTCTGCTATCTTAAAACTGTACATTGTTTCTCAGGATGGAGAACTCATCCGCGATTCTGGAGGTCATGGCAATTCACCTAGTTGTGGAGCACAATTGGCCAGACAGTATGCGGCTTCTGTTCCCCTCGATCCTTCACAACATTCGCGCGTTGAATCGGACGGGCGAACTCCGACAGGAATGAGCGAACCGACTAGCGAAACACCAGAGGCAAGTGATTTTATATTCTAATAATAGTACTACTGCTAATGATGATATTCAGTTCAGCTCTGTTCGTACAACCATTAACCATGCACCGTCATGCGCCGGTTTTGGTTGCTATCTTTTGGCTGCCCATTTGGACGAACATTAGGAAAAAGACAGGAAAGGTGGAAAGTAAGATCAAAGAGAAAATTTAGAATTTCTGTGGACTAATGATAAGAATAACGCATTGACAATGGTAAACCATCCGTTGAGTCATGCGAAGAGTTTTGCAATTTTTAGGAAAATTTTCACTCAGTTTGTGAATGTTAGTTTTCGGCCTAATTCTGGCCTGACGATGTTTGAGATCTGTTAGAAACTGTTCTCACTACTTTGTGTGTACACCATTTCTTTTTAATTTAAAATCCCACGAACTGTTCACGTTCATTCCAACACCCACAAAAGGAAATGTAGCTCTCCTGAATTTAGTGTAGGATTGCAGCCAAATGGTAGAATCGAGATACTTGCAGAATTTTGAGTATAGCGTCGTTTTTGGAGAAGTTTGTTGCATCTCTTGGGTCTGACGTTCGTTAAAACGTATCACTAGGCGGTACGTCGTGGTTTCTGGTAGTGACATGGCTGGTCGAAGCGGTACATCCGGCTTGTATACTTTCGGGATTCCATAGAACCGCGGTACTGTACTGCCTTCCGGTTTCATGCGTCTGTATTCATTCACCGTGATGCAGTTATTCCTTTTCAAATTGCTCGATAATTTAACGATCTTGCTTTCAATCTTCTTTGTTGGGTCAACTTCAATCCGTCTGTACGTGTTGTTGTCTTCCAGTAGTTGTTTTGCCTTGGTTATGTAATCCGTCTTTTTCATTACCACCGTCAATCTTCCTTTGTCTGCCCGGAGAATGATTCTGTTCTTGTCTCTTTTCAAGTTGTCCATTGCTCGTAGTTTCTTTTGATTGAAGACATTTTTCTCTTTTCTTCTGTTCAGTGCAGCGCTTATTCTTTGCCTTATTTCTTCTTTGGTATCCTGTAGTATGTTGTTTGTTTTCATGGCGGACTCAAATGCTGCTATGAAATCGAAGCGATTGGCATCAGCATGGTAAGGGTTCAATCCCCGAAATGTATTGACTGTTCGGCGTATGATAACACGCGGTGGATAAATTTTCTATCCAATTCTGTGATTCCTATTCCCTATTGTACAGGGTTATTCTGTCCAATTTCCTCTGACTTGCCTTGTACGGTTATTTCCTAGTGATATTGTTTTTGCTAACTGTTCTGGTGATTCGTTGTCTATCACACTTGAACAAAACTGCCTTCCTCTATTGATGACCTGTTTATATTTGGTCGGTCGATTGTGTGCATCGCTGATGAGCACATGGATCATTCTCTGACCATTCTGTTTTACTAGATCCCACTCAACTCGACAGTTTACCGATGATCTATACTGGACGCTCACAGGCAATACATTTCTTCTCAAACACCCGTGAAGGAAGAACAGCTGCCCTCTGGTGGGAGATTACCGATTGGCAAATGTTTCCCATCGTTGAGCATGACTAAGCGTTTCACGCCCATATGTGTTTGAAGTGATGTAACTCGGAGTGCGGATGTGGGCGTTCTCCGGAGCGAGTTCTCGGAGAACTCACCAACACCAATATATTTATCGGTTCTGACTTGAACAGAATATCCTTCAGGCAATATATTCACACGGTCCTCGGTTCATTTGATCAACTATCTATTCAGGAATCGCTAGACTCGAGTTTCGCTCTTATTTGAGCTCATCGGTAGTGAATGTTCAATTATCCGTTCGGTATTTGAACTGTGCATTCCTCACGTGGAGGACTTATGTTGCCACTGTGCCAACCAGCTCAAACCGGGGCTAAGTACAATTAGAAATTCAAGTTTGTTCAGATTTCATTTTTAATGATGGTCAATTCATCATTTGTTTGGTTAAACTCCAAGTTAGTGTTTTATCAACTTTGATTCCCATACTGAGTATTAAGTCCACCTTTATGGAGTACGCATAACTTTCTATGATAAAGCGACAATACCTATACTTAGCGTCTAATGTTTTCGGAGCAGCACAATAAATGAGAATGTCTCCTCGGCCGATGCGGAAACTGCCGCTAGCGAAGTTTCCAGTCCTCGGGTGAACATTCAACAACCAGTATTGGTGCTTCAGTATTTGCACATCGTGGAACCATCGGATAAGCAGTGCAGCAGTTAGAGCCGTAGGTTAGCCCATATCAGAATTAAGAGTAAATGCGTGATCTGTGTGGGCAGGTGCTGCTCTTGAGGCTGGGAATGGTTGGAGAGGAGCCACGGGCAGCTCAATATAGCATCGAAATCTAGATCGTTCCGTCAAGTTATTTCGCTCGTGTTCTATGGTTAGAGTTCTCACAACTAGCCTAACCACCAGTTCAGAACATTAGGTAAACATCGTGAACAGTGTATAGTTATGTAGTTCACACATCTCTGAGGCCATACTGTATGCTAAACAAATCACGCGACAATAATCGTGAACAGTGGGCTTACTTTCCTTATGCACCTTTTTAATTTCCCTTCACTTTCTCCCGATCACATTTGACGTGTAATTCATTCAATTAACCGAAGAAAATACGAAAAGTACAGCCAAAGCCCGATAATACAAAGTAATAATTATGTAATCTGAAACCTCATCAGTTGATCAGTTTCTGAACGCCAGTGCAGTTTCTGAACGTTGCCTCGATCAATCATGGAAACTGATTGCAAAATATAATGAGTTCCAGAAAGGGTTAATTAATTAGCGAATGGTGTAGAACATTATCTTTGAATGCTTTACGCAAACTGTTGGTATTATTTACCCACCATCACAACTTAACTAGTTAACTTTCAAACACAGAGTTCTAACTGGGTGCGGCGGATAACGATGGTTTTTGTCAATCTTAAAATTCGCGAGCGTCTTGTTTTCGTAATGACCCAACAGATATTGTGTGCGTCTGCTTGACGACACTGGGGTCTCTAATCAGTTGGATGCCCCAGGGTTTTCGGACACGTCAGTGCATTTTCGTCATTAGCGGATATCAAGATGACGTAGCCTTGTTCATCGATCGGAATGTGTGAAAATGTCTTGAAAAACTGGCTTTTAACAGTTGAGAGCCACCATCACGTGGGTCAAATCGATGATTGCTTCCGTATGACCAATATGTTGGCATATTTAAGGTTAAGCCGTTTCCATCGTTTGAAGTCGATAAACGTTTATAATAAAGGAAATGATAATTTAAAAGAATCAAATAAACCGGTTTTCCCGGACATTGGATGTATCACGCGGTGTTGTGTCTTCTTAACTGTTATCTGCATGACGTTTTTCAACCAAATTTTCCGGGTTTTGGTGTGCTCTTTTTTTGACGAGTTTTGACTGAATACTATTCTTTCCTCGAAATTTGATTTTTAATTTGTCTAACCTATGAAAAACAGTCTCCCGTTCTCTTTTTCTCACTATTGTATCAGAGTCTCATGGAAGAAGAATATGAAGAGTCTTTAACACAATTTGCTGATCTCATCATCGAGGGGCTCAAAAATAGTCCCTCGTTGCGTAGCCATCAGTCAAGCGAGGCCCACGTGCAGCATTCCACTCCTGGTCGTGTTGGACTTTCCGCTCCGAACAATCCTCTCTCACTCAGTTTGCACGGGACGCGCTTTGGCCCACCGGTTAACGGGCAGCTGACGCCACCACTCAAATTCGACACAGTTCATCCACTCGCATCTGTCCCATTCTCAGTACCTTCGGCGGACGAAAGTGCCATCTACAACGAACCATGTGATGCCAAACCCAGCCCGGGAAATAATTTAGACGAAACAGTCACAATCTACACAGTCAGCTTGTTCAATCCGGAACCAGGCGAAACTTCTGCGCACGGTTCGTCAAAGGGCGAAAGGTACGTATAAAAACGGATTTTTCGCTATGGTAATAGTAGATTTCTGTGAACCTAACTGCCCAATGAGCTGTCATGGTCTCCCTGGACTAGTGACTGAATAACAAGCAGCATTTACTTTGACCTACCAGTTTAACTCTCGGAGAAAAAAACAGTTTATTGCCGAAATCACCTCGTTTCACTAATGACGAGCAAACATAAAGCACAATGTATTTGTGACAAAATTTGGACCCCCAGAAGACCTTCCCTAAGTCACCTTAAGGTCATCCAATAGAGTCGAAACATTGTCATTTCGCTCGTTGTACGCAAAAAGCGCTAATGCATGTTAGGCGGAATGATCCTGTGTTCTTGTATGGCTACTGTGCATAATGCTCGGTCATCCGAAACTTTGCCGGTTGGTAAATGCTTCGCTCATATCGTTGGCTTGGCTTCCTTCACGTGCAATACTCGCGGCGACTTGCTATAATTGGAATCTGCTATTGGTAGACATTTCTTTACAACACAAAAGGTGTGGAAGTGTTTATATTTTAATTGGTTGTACAGAACAAATAAAGTGAGGACTGTAAAGCTAGGAGACACGGGATAACGGGACACCGAGTTCGATCCTCAATGGAGACCTTATCATTTCAATTTAGTTTATACAACCACTGCATTTGACACTCAGCCATTTCACTTCAATGTCTCCAACCATCGGTCACGCTGCTCTCGAGGTCACCGTCTAGAAAGCCTAACGTGACTTTCCTGACCGAATCTCCTGGTTAGGGCTCTCATATCTTTTAGTTTGATCATTTTTTCCATCCACTATCTGTTTCGGCAAATATCGCACGCTATGGAAACCCATTTACTGATATCCGCAACATATACCTCAACCAACTTAACCTATAACGGTAGACCACTTGCTCCAGTGGTTACCTAAAACTGGGCCTAACCGGAACATTACTCGTCTGGTTTCCCTACCAAATTCGTGGCGTGGACAAAGGCGTTTTGAACACCAACAGTCTATCTTTATCCTGTTGCCGTAAAGCATCACTAACCAAATTGCTGTACCGTGCACTGCACTCTCCACAGACAGCTGGATGTCGCGCCACAGATTTCTCAAGTGGGCAAATGCCAATCGAGTCTTCTGTATGCGTGCCGATACTTCGTTAGTGATGCATCCGCCACGTGAGATATAGTCACCAAAGTAGCAAACTGTATCTACCTTGTCTACTATTTTTCCAGTTATAATGAGGTGAGAGACTCGGCGAACGCAGTCCTGTAGCAATATTTTATACTTAGAAGGTGAAAAGCGCTTGCCAAACATGATTAAACTAGCAATCAAAGTATCCTAAACAGCTGGCAACTTACCCGGAGCTTCACTTAGCTGTAAAATTTCGTCTGCAGAATCTAGATCAGACAGGCTTTTTCTAGTATCAGTTCCACTACAAAGTTGAATATAAAGAGAGAGAAACGGCTAAAGTACCGTAAACATGGACTCGGCTTAAGCTATTAATCAAAAGAGATCGCAAAACAGAAATAAATTTCATGGGCACACCCTTCAGAGCGAGGCAGTGCCAGAGTTTAGAGCGGTCCACTGAGTCGAAGGTTGCATTCAGTTCGAGGAAGATAGAACTGGTGGGTCTACGAAAGAAATGTCTCTGTTCTAAAATTTGACAGAGAGTGAAAATCTGGTCGATGCAGCCTCGAGCAGGTCTAAAACCAACCCAATGCGCACGTGTGCACCGTTCATATGCGACAGACCCGAGAGCTGTCCAGTGCTTCCTATCTGTTCAGTTCACTCTCCGTTTGCTCTATACTCGACGAAAACTACCATTTAATCTAATAAAATCACTCACTACTCTCATGAATCTAAATCCTTTTTTCCTATATCGTGTTATTACACTGTGTTAGGTTTTATTCCCTATGATATTGCCTGTTGAGGTGGTTTGTGTGTGCATCGTGTTTGTAGCCAGTGTCCGAATAATCTTAGTCACAGTCTGTCCTGTTCGTGTTCGGCATGATCCGTAAAGTATGCTATCCCCATTTGGATTCACATCTCCCAATTAGAATGGCTCAGTTTTAATTTCCATTAATTTTCCCGGTCAGATCTTGCTCATGCCCAAGTGATCAGTTACATATACGTGCAAACCGTCTGATGTTCGACGGATCGACCGCAGTCTCCGTGTTTATACCATATGATCACCCGGGGTTTCTGAAGACTTTAGCAAGTCCCTAGTCATGTCCAGTGGTTTCCTTACAGGCTTTTCCTGGCGACGATGCAGAGCGTGCGTAGGTTTATCGTGGATGTAATTCGTCTCATTAGCGAGTTTCTTGCACGTTTTCCTTGACGTATCCTTACGTCTTATTATTTCTTAACCATGGAATACGAATCAAAGAAAAAAAGTCTTGTTCACTGCATTCTGTTTTGTTCGCAATTTATGCCAGCGCTTTGATGGGACCATTTTTCCGTTTGCTCTGTTCTCATCAATTGAGAAGTTGCTGATTGTCTACATACACTCTCGTTCCTGTTTGTTTGGAGACGATAACAACAATCATTCCTGTTTTTATGACCAGCAGGGTTTTTCCCTTTTAGTGAGACCCACGGAAGCAGCATGTTCCCGTCGTGTTTATAAATATGTGCGCACCGCACTCCGCGCCATCTTTGTTCGCTCAACGAATCACGAGTTTTGTCGGGTAGGTGGTTTCTGTGAACTGTAGACCGAAGGCGTATGGTAATACATCATAGTACACATTATGTGCTATTCACTCGAACCGGAAGTTTCTCTCCACGCGCGCGCACACACAACAGAAGTTGTTTCAGTGTACCGCAAACCATGCTTTATTTTTCTTTTTCTGTTCAAATCCCGATGCAGCAGTTGTTCCTACATTTCCCGTATTCTCGTTAGCGTGAATTGCAAACTATCTTGAAACGTGTCTCTGATTCGAAACAACATATGCATGCACACTTCCGCGTGCCTGTGCCCTCGAGTACAGTTGTGTGTGTATGTGTGTGTATGAAACCCTGTTTTCCCTTCATCATACCGAGCGACCAAAGATAGACCATTTCGATCTTCACTTACCATTTTGTTGTCTCAGTTTTTTGGCGGCAAAGCGTTTTAACAATCTTCACGTCTCACACCAGGTTTGCTCGATTTCCTCTCTCATGGTTAGCTAGTTCCTCTATGTTTTAATGTCAAACGTGGGTATGACTCACGGGGATGAGATTGTCTATTTTAGCTGATCGCAATGCTTTTAGTTCCCCTTGATGGGTGCCAAAAGTTCATTTATCACGCTTGTCACACCACCACTAAAAGATAGAGACTGAAGATCTCGTCTGTGATTGTAGTAAACTTGAAACCTAACGAGAGGAAATCAACAAATCAACTCCAACAGACAAAAGTACTCCGATTTTGATTGGGTGTAACGAAAAGCTGTTCCCATTTCACAAGGNCTGCATAGTTTGTGTCTGTAAAACTGCGTAGTCTCTCGATTTAAAACTGATTTAGTTCGCGTAAAAGCCTCTATTGCAGCTAAAGAGAAAAAACAGTCAATGAAATGTAGTCTCCCAAAAGCTAATTATGATAAAAATAAACAGATGTTACCATCATAGTACCTTTAAATAAGTCACAATAACTGCGAAAAATACAAATCAGCTTTTTATTTCAGGCCTGAAGCGCAGTGGTTGTTGGACGCATGTGGGATTCAGCGTTCTAAATAATCTCCGTCTCTCCTTTTACTTAAACGTCGCCCTGTGATGCTAAATGCATCTGGCCACGCAGATTGTTTCATCAGAAAAGCAATCGACGAGGCTAGTCCGTGTTGTTTATCGGCTACCCTGATCCATGACCATAGACTTTTAAGGATCTCTAAGTGGGTTTATATTCGCTGGGTTGGTCGTTACAATTCCTGAGAGGATAACAAAAGTAACATCTACCGGATTTCTTCTCGTTTAGCGTCATGGAAATGATTGAAATTCTATTCACTATTGCAGTTATTCATCATCGTAAGACAACGCTGTTCTTGTCTGTGTGTACTCAGTTAATCTCAATAATTCTGTAGATTGAAAGACAATGTGCTTCTATTCCTTTTGCAAAGTGCTCACTGCTTAGTGAATCGTCTATCAATCTTGTTTAATTGCGCAGTGTCATGAACAGTCACGAGGACCTGTTGTTCAGTTATGGAAATCGGCAACCCAAGCCCCGGGATTTGGAGTGACAAACCAAATAACGTACCGCTAGTTTAAGCGTGTTTTTGCACCGGACGACAGCAAAGCTGTTTGCCATCAAAGATGGGTAACGGTGGTGGGGCTCGAACCTCGGATCATAGGGTCCAAAGCATACAGGTTACAGCGACTAAACCATTGCACCATCACCGCCCAGCTTATAGCTTTAACCTGTAATTGGTTGTTGGATCATCTACCACGCTAGTATCATTTGGAATAGTAAACCGCACCCGTTATTTGGTGTTCTGCGCGATAGAGGAATCGAATGATCATTTTACCTTCATCGAGCATTCAGTTTTAAACCACCAACCACACGTAACCTTTATACTGTGACGAGGTTTCCTTGTTGCTGTTTGTCAAGTATGCATGGATGATGATCGTTGAGTGGTGTGCGTCATTCTGGTACGTTTGTCACCAGTCCATACATCCTGATTGCCAGTTTGACGGACGTTATTATTCGATGATGGCATTGTATTGCGTTCAGCTTCGAATCGCCACGAAAACTGAATCCATGCGTTTTTTCTGTTTCCAGCAGATAGATTATGCATCGTTTTCCTCCTCCTCCTCTCACTACATTGATTCGAGCAGTCATTGTACCGTGCTATCGATCTTGGCACAGTATCAGTGTTGTACATAGACCGATGTCAACAAATTAGGCGTGTGCGCGTGCTTACAACACCGTTTGTGGTTAAGGGAGTTGCACGAGACTGGTGTCATTCTCTCCTATGAAATGGGTCTTCTAGTGTTTACTCCGCTAACGCTTTAATCTGCGTGTGTCTATGCGAATGACCAATGTGCATTACGTCTCACGTCACAAAAAAATTTCATTTCGTATCGACTATAAAACCCCTTGCATTTTTCTCCCCATCCGATACATTTATAAAGTAGGGTGAAAAGTCATTAGAGAGGATAATTATATAGGAACCCTTTTCCCTTCATGATCTTGGTTGTTTGTTCAAATAATAAGATAACTGTTTTTATGAATGTTGTGGTTCAGCTAGCCATCTTCTGGGTGCGACGGTTGGTCCGAAAACGGACGTGGTTTTTCGTTGTCATCCATTGAAAAGCTGAAAGCTGCACATATCCCATCGACTGGAGTTTAACCCTCTGGTTCTGTGACCCCGATTTTTTTTGTAGCGGTGGCATTTTTCAAGCTTGCAGTTTAACTTGAAGCGCCTCTTTATCAGATACAGTAATATCGTCGTCGGATTCAATCTCGGTTCCGTCGACGATTATCATCAATGTCGTGTAGCCTGTATAGCCAGATTTCTCATCTACACATAATTTTGACAAGAAACCATTCTTCAGCTCGACATTCCGCTTGTGGATTTACTCCACCGCTGTTAGCAATACCAAAAATGCTATAATTAATAACAATGGTAATAATAAGGATAGCCACTTTACTTAAACAGTCCCACAACACGGTACTTTCTTTTATCAAGTACTGTCTAATTTCAAAAAGGAAGCTGCGATAGATCAGCGAGTTGGATCCATAGTATCGTCTATGAGTGCGCCCAGTGGTTACTACATTCAGCCTTCATTGTTCATTGTTGTTTTTCATTGTTAGATTGGTGGAAAATGATGAAAAGTTGAATACTATGATGATAGAACGTGATCGAAAAATTAACTTTGTATATTTGGAACTTGTTTGTGTATGATTTTCTTGCTAATTCGAGTGAAACCTGAATGGGCTACCATTCAGTTGCGATAGTTGTTTCGCACGGGAGGCGAATAAGCGAAAATTGAATCAAACTGTGGCCTGGGAACGACAGACATATAAGGTCGGGATTGGGTGGGGGACTGGGTTTGTTAAGAATCTTATGGACGAAATTTTCACGTGAATTTATGTGAATGTCATACAGTTTTGTGATTAGTGTTTATGGGCCTAAGAAAAACACGGCTAATATTTACCATCCCGAGGCGAAGAAAAATGAAATCCTTTTTAAGTAGGCCAGAGAAAATCACAGGAAACAGGGACAATGCACTGATAGGCAACCTAAATATAATCGAATGCTTCACTCAACTATACATAACCAACTGTATGTAATATTTAGATATTTAGGTCTTAGCGAACGTTGGTTAATCTTTGTATGCAGATAGTACCTTTTATTCTTAATTGAAAGGGCCTAGAGCATATCAATCACTAAGCGTACTAAACCACAGAATCTTCCCGATTTCATACCTCATATAGATAAATGGGGAATATCTAATGGGTTGTATTATTTTTTTTAACTCATCGCGCATGTTTCTACGCATGTATGACACAGAACACGTGTGAGGTGTGTGCTGACTTCGTTTTAGTTTTTCTGTTCTTTCTTGTTTGTCTCTCTGTCTGTCTGGATCTAACTGTCCGAATTCCCATCAATACACACATAGGCACGCATGCATAGACGCGCGCATTTTAGATGCTTTGTGAAAGCGCTCGCCAAACGGACGAAATGGTCACGTGTTCTCCACGTTGCGAACAGCTGATCCTAGTGCCTTAATGTGCAGACCACTGGGTTAGGCGTTTCCTTAAATCAGGAGAACGAACAATCACTACTCCAGTTGTCCGAACCAGTACGCTCTGCGGACAGTGGAGTTGAAATCCACTTTGGAAGCTGTTTCTAAATATGATATGTTGATTTGAATTGCTCTTTCAGGCAAAGTTAAAAAAACAGGTGCTCTGTAGGAACCAGTCCTTTCTACTTGTTTTAGCAGTTTAGCATTCTGTTTGATTCTCGCCAAACTTATTTTTAACTGGCAGTCATTGAAACGAAGGAAAAAATACACCATAACTCTAATGCCCGCATTGTGTCTATCAAGCTCATTTGAATAGACCTGTCATGCTTCACGTTTTAATTTGCCGTCGACTGTCACTGTTGTTTTGTGTGCCTACTATGAGTAGTCTGCACGCGTTTATCATTTTTATCTAGTTGGTAGTATGTGCCATTTTAGCGACATAATGCAACCGTTGACTAGTGTTTGACCGTTTCAGGTCCGTTTTAAGTCTCCGGTTGAACTACCATCGAATATTTTAGCAGTTATTTATTATATTACAAACAGGTTGTGTTTGCAATTGGAAATCAACTGATTTCAGGCGATGGTAACTTTGTTTAAAGTACTCGTGTTAAGATTTATTTTTGTTGATTTTTGTGATTTGTTGGAGCATTAGTCAGATTGTTTCGGCCTGATTTATGTTTTTGCTCTGTTTCTGGTATTCTCTACTTATAATAATAAGAATTTATTAGCCTTTAGAATAAGAGCGAGTGGAAATTCAAGAATTAGTTAACCTCGTGCTTTGGTGTATCGATCCTGCTTTGCTGTTTAATTTCGAATCTCCAATCAAGAGCTTCAACTTCATCGTTTTTTACCCCCAAAACACGGATGTAACATACTAACACCACCATGGAATTGTAGGCACGTCAGAATGCACAGCGAACTAATTTTGGCAACACTACCGTTATTTCAGCTCAACGAATACTGAGACATATTTACTGACTCTGATTGGAGCGGCACCCGAGAAACCAGTTTTTGCTGTACTCTCTGAATTCGTCGTAGATCACCCTCACGTTGACGAAATCGCTGAAATTTAGAATAAATCTACCAAAGGCAGTTTCCGAAATAGTCGCGCATACTTTTGGGAGGGGTAATGGATACAACTGCCTGTTTAGTTTTCGATCGAGGGAATCAAAATGTCCTCTCACTATCCAAAATCTAAAAATAACGACATTGGTGGTTTTCAGCAACCAGAAGTGGGATATTGCAAACCGGACTTAAATATACCGATATCACTTCATTTACTTGTCTTCCGTAGAATTAGCGTAGCTAATATAAGACGAGATTACCCTTATTCCCTTGAATAACCGTAAAATTTGTTAGCGACTTTTTTTCTCCTGCTGTCTCTGAGCTTGCGAAAATGCATGTGTACTTCCGCCATTTAAGCGATCTTGACACCTACAGAAACAATTGGTTGTCATTTCACAATCGGCAGACTTGCACAGACATTCTAGTCCCCACAGCCCAGCTCGGCACGATATGTTTATTGGTCATTATGTGCATTTTTTAGTATCAAAAGGTCTGGAGCGCGTACATTTGTGGACACGCACAGTGATATCGGTGGGGTCATCTGACTTATATTTGTTTCAAACGGACACGGCAGAATACCCGATTGTTGTGGCCGTTCTATGATCTCACTCAGCTGATAGCCATCCTCTTCCTTCTTGGGATTAGCGTAATGTTCACTCTTTTCCTAATCGTGCACCAATTCAATATCTTGCGAATGAATGAAGATCTGATTTGTTATTAACTAATAATATGCTTACGAATCCGTTATTTCCTTGTTGTGTGGCTGGTCGCACCTCTACAGATGACCGGAATCGGCTTACCGTCTATAGTCTTGCTATAAAATTTTCCGAACAGTTTGTTCACTCACACAAGCATGCTATCGTTCTGGGCATCAAGATTCGATTTCTTGTGGAAACAGTGCACCCCGTCATGAAGATCAAATGTTTTTTAGAATTTTCGTGGGCCTAGGTGTTTACGATTCAATCAAAGTGACACGCTAACCATCACAAACGAGATAGTGGAATTAACTTCAAATACTGTCTGTTGCCCATTTAGCAAACTTCCAAAAAGTAAGTAATACACGTGTCAACGTTGTGCTCCATGACATTAGCTGATACGCTGTCATCCTTAGTCAGTTAGCATTGAAAGTTGTTAATCGGTGGTTATTCTTTTGGTTTGAGAACATGAGGTCGACGTGTTGGAACCAAAACAGCTCATTGACTCACAGGTGCCATGCACATCAAATACACCGAATCTCGTCTATCGCGAAACACTTGTTAACGATGCGAGAATTCGACAATCTGTTGGAAGCGTTTCAGGGTATCTAAACTGATGATAATGCTGGAATGCCCAAGATTACCGAAGCGTTTTCGAACAGAGTCCTTGTGATTCCTCTCCCCCATTGCATTCAAGCTTCACTAATTTTCGAACCTTTTATCTATCCTATACATATGATCACCAGTTGACATACAGTAAGTCTTCTAACGCAATCCATGCAGTGTTGCTATACTGGCCTCTCTTATGAGTTCTGAAAAAAGAAAAGCACATTGACATACATGCATTCATCTTTTAGACGGGTTTTCTTTGATATACCTTTAAATATAGTCAATCAGATAATTGATTCCAGACGTTTGATCTGAGTTTTTGAATTCGTGAATGATTGTCCAAATTTCTCACATGATCGGTTTTACCAGGCGACATGGTTCATAGTGAGAATATTTTGTGTTCTTTACTTCATACTGATTGTGTTCCAACTAAGCTGTACTTGAAAATCAAACTACCCCGTAACTGGTGAATTCGCTGAGCTTTCTAGCCATGGTGACTCACTTCTGACGATTGCATCAACAGTTTCCAGTTGACTCAACCGCCGACCTCACTGTAATTGGGGAAGTAGGAGGAAGTAGAAAAATTTTACTATTTGATCAGTCATCTCACCTGGCGGACGCGTCACAGATGAAGTGTCGGCACACATGCAGATGGCTCAATTGACATTTGCCAACTTAAGACAACTGTGGCACTTTTTCGCTCGAGTTCGCTACAGAAAGTGGTGTTTGTCATCGTTACTCTCTCCGATTCTACTTGACTTTGCCATGGTTTTAATTATTGAAACAGCCCTATCGTGGTGCGGGGATGACAATATTGATTTGCTTCCTGATGGTAGACTGTCTGATACGCAGAAATAATGTAAACGCGGTACGAGAAAATCCTCATTTATACTCGTCTTTAGATAGTCGTGTCCTTTAGTAGAGTGACAACTAATCTACCAATCACTAAAATAGGTGTCATTGCGGAGGCAGACACTTAACCACCACCTATGGGTGGTTTGCGTTAACGATGGCCGTTCGACCATCAGCCCAAAGTAGAATGTCCCAGTTGAATCCTCTCGATCCACCTTGCTTCCGAATCTTTCTTTTTTATTGCACACCTTGGTGTAATGAACAAAAACGGGGAAAGCCCCATAGTTACGAGGACCTGCTGTTCAGCGATAGAAACTGGCAACCTAAGCCCTGGGACTTGAAATGGCGAACCACATAAGGCCCCGCATAGTTAGATGAGGTATTGAACCAGACAACAGCAAAATGCTGAAGAAAGTCAAAGAGTGCACTTGCAAGAATTGTTCATTCTTGTTTCTTTTTACGAAATAATCGATTTACCTGGAGCTTGGGATTCTCGTTCTTATCCGATCAAGTTCAAGAATTTCTAGCTTCGTACTTCAACTGGATTTACGTGTGGGTGCTTTTTCGGTTCTGTAGCTCAATCTCTGTGATAGTTTTGCTCTTCAGACGGCATTTAATGTAAGCATGTTTGATGTATTAGAAGCAATATGAACTCCTCGCGATCTCGTGACAAGGATTACCACAAGGACCACAAGTGGGTTCAATCTACCAGTCGAAGCTTAGCATTCCTTTTACATTGGACTTGACCAGTCAATCTCACCGCCACATATACACACACACGCATCTATAAATTACGGACCAAGGGGAACTTTTTTACTCTCACGTTGTTACGTCCTTTGCACTTACCTGTCTGTCTACTCGCCTAAGTTTTGAGTGTGTTTTATCAGTTTATAGTTCACACACACACGCACACACCGAACTCGTTTCACAATTCACTTAATTTTGTGCGATTTAACTCAAGGTTCGGATCGCACATCGATCACAATGAACACTTGTGCATGTCTATCATTCTGTGCGTGCATCTGGGTGTGCATCTATGGCCTCTTTATTGACCACTTTTGCGTTGACTGTTATCGTTTATGATAGTCTGTAATCATTGCATATACATGTATGTGTACAGAAGATATATAAATATATGTATGTTGTGTGTTTTCAATAAACCTCATACCACCATAAATGAGCAAATATATAGTTAGAAATTCGTCGCCATCCGTGCCCACCCCCATCGTCGTCCTAACATCGCGGTCTCTATTTCCAACCGGATCTGATATTGGTTTGATTCGGTGAGCCGTGACTACCTTTGCATTCAGATGGTTTGTTCCGATAGAACATGTGTCGGGCTGACTGAGTCACACAAATTGTGAGTTTGAGAGCGAACGAACGAACCTAAGAGAATCATGTGAGCATCACACGCCGCAGCCCTGATCGTTTGCCTGTTTGCTCGCTCGTTCGTTCGTTTGCAAATGTAGGGGCTTGGTTGTTTTGTGGCGCGTGTGCAAGTGTTTCGGTGCACACCTCCTTTGGTCGACTGCATAACACACGCATGTGCGTGCGCACGTGCTTGATTGCGCGCACACAGCTGATTCGAGGCTCACTGATATGCCAGCACCACAATCGCCATCTGGTTGATTATGCCACGACAATCTTTCGCACCTATTTAGTGTTACTCTTGTTTTGTGATTGGAAACATTCCACTCCGATATGCGAGGGGCTTCCGCGGCCTTATGTTCTCCCGTTCCTTCAACCACGGATCACAAACCCATACTAACCAAATATCCGGCTACCCCATTCCTAATTCTACCCACTTGGCGAACTACCCTAACTCAACCTGCCCCTTGTGTGCAGCGGATTGCCCGGTTGACAGCACAGTCCCCGACCAGTCCTGTGCATTTTCCGGTTCAGCACCTAATGGCTGTGCCGTCCGTGCGTGTGAATTTTTTACCTGCTTTTAATTCACGAACAAGTCGATACACGAAGATCTATAATGTGCGTCAATCCAACACTCATTTCCTGCCACGAAGAAATTTGACCTCTCCAATTCCAATTTGGACCAGAGGTCCGAGTCCGCCCCCATGCATTCCGGAAGAGGATGAATACGAAGGAGACAGTCAGTCAAAAGGAGCATTAAATGAACCGACTCCTAGTTCTCCGAAAACGGTTGATTCAAATCGAACTCCCACACTTAATCGAAAGAGCTCCTCAGAACAGACCACTCGCATCCTAATTACCGGGCCACCTAATGAGCAACCACACTCCTCATCTGCTCTGTCGTCACGGGGCGTTTACTGGCCTGAGACATCCGTGCCAGCAACCGAACATGGTCTGTATGAACATCATTTAGACATTCTTCAAACTGTGGAAAGTACGTGGTTAAGTGGCTCTAATGGAATTGGTCTGTATAAGAACAAAGAAGTTTACGATAATTATTGGTTTGGTTCTGGATCAGATCTGTTACTGATACCTCCATCTGCCCACAATCCAAAATCGCCAGTAAACGGGAATGTGGACATGTACAACATGTTCTACGAGTACCCACCTGTTGTAATGTACTCTGGTAACAAACAGCTGCCCGTGTCCACGTACGTCTCAGGTATCCTGTGGAGAGTGATATACCTATCTGTATATTGTTTCATTCAAATCATGTTGCCGAGGTGTAAATATTCTACTTTCTTATCTTTCGAATCATATTTTCTTAGGGGAACATTCTTGTTTTGGTAAACTGCTATGGCTTACAGTTTCCGTCCCCACGGAAATGTCGTTGGTACACAAACACGTACGCACAATGGCTCAAGCCATTGTAATTTCTCATTTTCGATTTTCAATTACTCTGATTTTTCGTCAACCTAAAGTTTGATTTTGGAACAACGATGTAGCGAATGAGCTGGTTTTTGGTGTCCCGTCTACAACCGGTCACAGCATATATGACCCAAAGAACGATGAAGGATAGTGGGAAAACTGTGTTCAAACGAATAAGTGTCGAGTGTTGGCGGTAGTTACTCGAAGAGTGTGAATTTTACCCCTGGTGCGTTCACTGGGGTCATTTCCTATGATCATGGGAACATACGGGCGTTTGCGAACTATTTTGACGTGCATACTAGGGGGGGGGGGGGGTATTTAATTTCTTTGTTTCCACCCCAAAATGTAGATGGAGGTTCGACATCTGTGGTGAAAACCTCGGTTATGGTTGATCAGAACGATGCCTATACCTCAACAATGTGATTCATTTCCACTGTATACGCAGCGATCTCACCCGCAGTCGCCGTTATCGATCTTCGATCGGATCAGGGTACCTAGTGTTGTGAACACCTTAACTTGCTTCACAAGAGCGAGTGAACTGAATGAGTGATTATCTTCATCGATAGTCCGTCCTTGAATTGATTTGGAAGAGTGTAATAAATGCAATTCCGTCGAAAAGAAAGTAATTGCAACTGAGTTTTTGAGTCTTTTACTCACTAACATACCACTTTTGTTGGCCAAGCTTTCTTTTCAATTATTCAGCTTTTATCTTTCTTTCATTAACTTTGACGCCACAACCGACCAGATCTTATGGATTTGTTTTTAAGACTATTTACTTGATCATGGTGATTTCGTTACCCACCCTGTCGATAGAACAATTATACTGATCAAATTGACAAATCAAATGAAGTTTCTCTTATGGGTCATCGGAGCAAAACTGTGGTAGTTGAATTTGATAGTGCCGTTTAGCTATTCAAACTCGCCTTCCTGCTAATGACACGGACGAATTCGAAAAAACTGAAAAACAGTTCCAGTTTTTAGACGAATTGCTTATCACTGATGCCACAGTTTTCTTCTGAAAGAACCACATCATTGGTAAAACACATTGTGAACTTTTCGATTTTGTCGTAACAGAACAACTCTCTCCCTATCAGGAATAGAAATGTCACCGACTGATTTCCAAATGGTTCTCTTTGGCGACAACTCGGCTAATCTCAGATGGAACTAGAAACAAAAGAAATGTTAGATTCGAATCGCAAAATAAGCCCATCGGTGTATTCAGAACACAGGTCGTAGGTGATTACACTTTCGATGAGTTCGTTCTCAAGCTATTACAACCACATTTATGTAGGAAAATATCAGGAGGGTGATGTGTTGAGGTCAAAACAGTCGAGGTCAGATAATGATTGCGAAGTGATGGGGTAGGGGTAAGTTTGTCTCTAGTTCTTCTGTCCTGAGAAGAACGGTTTACTCAAGCGTCGGTAAGTGATGTCCACTTTGAGTCAAAAAACTGTGAGTACCTGACTTTAACACATTACCTTCCGTTTTTTTCTTACATGATTTTGATGTCTTGTAAATAAACTCACCGGCAACACATGTTCACCTACGGATGTTCGGTTATCTATACTAAGTATGCCTAAGCGACAGAGTAGCCTTGCTTGCTTCGTAGGCTGAGTAAATCGTGGAACTTGCTTTTTTATAAATATTATTGTATTATGATTTGTTTGACACAGTTTAAACTCAGGTGAGTGTAAAAAATACATAAAACATATAGAGTAGCCTTGAAAACAAATATTTTTTGTCCTCTGAAGTAGGTAAACATTTTTTAACACATCGGGACCAAATGGTGTTAGGAGTGTATCGAAAAATCAGTGCGCCATGTGTTGTTTTATTGTGAATGTTATGGTGTTAATAACACAGCGGTGTCGGCAGAGAATCATATTCGCCGANAGAAAGGTTACCCACGGTAACCGAAACGTCGGCGAATATAATTCTCTACTGACATCGCTGTGTTATTAACACTGTAACATTCACAATAAACATTTTATGTTTATGTGATCTAATTGATAACGATTTTAACGTCAATGCATCTATCAAATTAGTTATGCAAACATTTCCCAGTATTCCTCATCTGGGCCACTGAAATTTGGTGTGATTCACCATATTTTGATGTAATTACAAGAATTCCAGATAACCAAATTACATAGTTTCAGATAAATTTCATTTCATATGAATTGAATGTGAAGATAAACTGTATTTGGTTGTGAGCGCTCCTTGATAACTGAGGAATACAAGTGAAGTCCTCTTCTATCAAACTAATTATTTCATATTTATTTTCACTTTCTTTTCCGCAACTGAATGCACATTTGTACGCTCATTTTTCACTAAGGGCCTGAAACCAACCCGGGAACGCAAGAAAAAGAATGCTAGATTATGAATTATGTGGATACAGCCCGGTAGACTAATTGCATCACATATTTTCTTTACCTCTATTCCAATGCGGGAGGGAAATCTTGTTTTCGTATTTTTTTATCCTCTTTTCACTCTTCTAATGAACAAAATATCTTCGATACACCAGAAACTCTATGCTCAAAAGAATAAAATGAGTGAAACCACAACAGCTTGAACGAGTTGCCTTATCAGGTGATCTGTACTTGCTGGGTCACGTGAATACTTGTTCGTCTAAGCAAAGTATGATCATAATAACCTTCGACGCGTTCACTCTGATTGCTGTCGCGGAAACAAATGCTTATGCTATGTTGATCTGTCACTCGATAGCACGCGATGAGAAGGTGTGAACGATGATGTCTAACCCTGCGAGCGTATTTCATCCTTACCGGCTTAGCGACACGCTTCGCTGGTTTGAATTAGAAAAAATGTGTGCATACCGTTTTCACGGCCGAAATGTAATTCATGCTCGTCGAATGGATGTGTATAGTGAAATGTGTAGAGCGAATGCCGTGTTTTTCATGTTCCAAATGCGAATAGTTTTTCGGGGTTATAATAACAGTACCTCCGTGGCGAGCAGCCCAAAACTTCAGTTATGTTTCTTTTAAAAAAATACCCGAACAGAATAACCGGTCTTTGTTTGAAAACCAGAGCCAGATCCATTTACTTTATCACCGAACCACGTCTCCATCCTGCGACTTGTGCACATCTCTAAGTGCAAACACTCTTCGGAATCATCAGTATCTGGGGTCGTTTTGCTGGCTAATAGAAATACCATTCCTATTATATTTGGTTTACCATATTTTGTTTTTGCCGTAGCGTCCAGAACTCTTGAAACATACAATACCACAAGACGACTAGTCACAACTACCATATTTCAATGCACTTTATCCTTCCGGGTATCACAATCTTGGTCGATATAGATGTCGTTCTCTGGAAAGGAGGGAATTCGTTTAAAAACTACGGAACTATTTTTGTTAGCTCTATAGTTTAATAGTAGTCATCTTTTTATTTCTTCATGTTGAGTTGACACTGGTATGATTAACTTTCTTAAATAGAGAGGTGGTGAATTGAAGGGTTGCTAGAAGGTTACAGTGAATACTTTATAGTTAGCTAATGAGGGTGAGATTCAAACACACATAAAGGGACCCACATCGTTTGATCGTTGCCAAAAATATTGTGTTGTTTGGACAGCGCGATTATTTTCCTAAGGTGTGCACATTACAGTCTATTCTTTTCCCTCGTAAAAGGAGAGCTCATTTGTGCTAGCCAGTGGTTTTTCTCGCACCTAAGTATTGGGATATTTTGTTAAATTAACCGCATTCATCATGCTGATCGATTGCATGATTGTGTGTAAAGGAGAATGATTCTATAAAAGTTGTTCCACAAACGACCAGTACGCATTCGTATCGAAACCGCTGGATTTTAAGCGATGACCATTGGCTATTGACCTGTAGCAGTAAAAAAAACCTAATGTAGTTAGCAAGTTTCCGGATTGTACTACATGTATTTGTTGTTAGCTTTTATCGATTATTGCACAGTGTGTTTAGGTCAGTCCACATTAAATTTGGATTGGAAAAGTGCTGACATTACCTGTCTGTTTGGTTTTTGTGTGTTTGTATCAATGGTATGAAATAATGAGAAAAATGTATCGCAATCATCCGTCAGATACCATATTCCTTCTGGTTAAAACCCTGTTGTCTACCTTTCGGTCCTTATAAGGCACTTTTGTGAAACGCGCATTGCTTGTGTTACAAAGCCCGATCCTCATGAATATCATCACCTTCGTACACTTATCTGCCAGTACTTCTGCAGGATGAACATTTTGCCCTCTTGTTTGTTTGGCATCGATTTTCGAAACCACGTTCCATTTGCTATCTGCTTTGTTTTGTGCTTACTGCCTAACGGAACGCCTTTAATCCAATCAGGTGACCTGTTCATTCTTTGTGTTCGTGTGTGTTCGACTGCATTCGCCAGGATGACTAGAAGTTGTTCCGTGATCTCGGGAACGTGAAAAGATTGCCGTAAAGCACATAGTGGTACACGTGACTAGCCTCCATTGATTCCTTTCAAGACTACATTTGGTTTCCCATATAGTATCACGACGGTCGTCGGATCTGTGACTCAGGATACACCCTTCTAGCGTGAGAAGCTGTATCGATCAATGGACTGTTTGTGAAGGCTGCATTCTGAATGTGTACTTTTCCTCTTTTAGAAGAGTAAAGTTCTACGGATTGATTGACACATCGATATTTGAGTGTGCTTTCTCTTTTCGGACCACAACACTCACGCCACACGAATCAATGCCTGTACCTATCCATTAGCAAAGGGGTCCCTGGATAGAATTTACATGTTCTCAAGTCGTCCGACATTTTTGTTTCTTCACAGTTTACTGCATGTCGTGATTCGGATGATGTACAGTCTACTGTTTGTGTAACAACGTGTCAGACAGTTCATTTTGTTTGATCCACATTTTCTCCTAGGTGTTTTTTTACACGCTGAAGATATGAAACCGTTTTGGAATTCGCGTAGCGTTTGTTGCAAGCTTCGGTCAATGAATACAACACGCTAGTGGTAACTCCCTTATTGTGTACGTACTTGATGCAGTAGTTCCTCCTATTTCCGGTTGTTCTAGTCCTTATTTACAAACACTTCTCACCAGCTGCACCT